TTCATTTAAAATCCGTTCAAAGTTCAATTATTTTCAATTAATTAACTCCAATTCTTTCAAATTCAGTTTTTTTCTGAATTTTTTTTCTACTAAAATTCTTCAGTCAATCAATTATTTTTTAGTAATTTTGAGAATTAAATGATTAAAAAAAGTATTTTTTGAAAAGAAAAGAAAGTTCCTTTAAGATAAGTCTAAAATTTAATTGTTTTCAATTAATTAATTGAAATTCTTAAACGTTCAATTATTTTCTAGAATTTTTAACTTAAATTCTTCTTTAATGCAATTATTTTTACTAAATTTTTTTAAATTCAATTGTCAATTATTTTCCATTAATTGACGGCAATTCTTTCAAATTCAATTATTTGCTGTATTTTTTTAAAATCAAATTCTTCACTAAATCAATTATTTTTAGTAATTTTGAGAAAGTATTTTAAGAATTCAATTATTTATTAAAAAAAAGAAATTTCATTTAAAATCCGTTCAAAGTTCAATTATTTTCAATTAATTAACTCCAATTCTTTCAAATTCAGTTTTTTTCTGAATTTTTTTTCTACTAAAATTCTTCAGTCAATCAATTATTTTTTAGTAATTTTGAGAATTAAATGATTAAAAAAAGTATTTTTTGAAAAGAAAAGAAAGTTCCTTTAAGATAAGTCTAAAATTTAATTGTTTTCAATTAATTAATTGAAATTCTTAAACGTTCAATTATTTTCTAGAATTTTTAACTTAAATTCTTCTTTAATGCAATTATTTTTACTAAATTTTTTTAAATTCAATTGTCAATTATTTTCCATTAATTGACGACAATTCTTTCAAATTCAATTATTTTCTGTATTTTTTTAAAATGAAATTCTTCACTAAATCAATTATTTTTAGTAATTTTGAAAAAATATTTTAAGAATTCAATTATTTATTAAAAAAAGGAAATATCATTCAAAATTCGTTCAAAGTTCAATTATTTTCAATTAATTGACTGCAATTCTTTCAAATTCAATTATTTTCTGGATTTTTTTTTACTGAAATTCTACAATAAATCATTTATTTTTAGTAATTTTAAGAATTCAATTTTTTTTTTTTTTAAAGAAAGTTCCTTTAAGAAAAGTGTAAAATTTAATTGCTTTCAATTAATAATTGTAATTCTTAAAAGTTAAGTTATTTTCTAAAATTTTTGACTTAAATTCTATTATAATTCAATTACTTACAGTAATTATTAGAATTCAATATTATCGATTTTAAAAAAGAAGAAAGTTCATTTAAAGTTCATTTAAAATTCGTCTAAAGTTCAATTATTTTCAATTAATTAACTGCAATTCTTTCAAATTCAATTATTTTCTGTTTCTTTACTGAAATTCTTCACAAAATCAATTATTTTTTGTAATTTTGAGAAAGAAATTTGAGAATTTAATTATTTAAAAAAAAAGAATGTTCTTTTAAAATAAGTGTAAAATTTAATTGTTTTCAATTAATTAATTGTAATTCTTAAAAGAGCAATTATTTTCTAGAATTTTTAACTTAAATTCTTCCGTAATGCAATGATTTGAACTAATTTAGAGAAATAATGTTGAGAATTCAGTTTGTTTAAAAAAAAAGAAAGTTTATTTATAATAATTGTAAAATTCAAATTGTTTTCAATTAATTAATTGTAATTCTTCAAAGTTTAGTTATTTTCTAGAATTTTTAACATAAATTCTTCTGTAAAGTATTTTTAATAATTAAAGATGACCGAGTAATAAAATCATTATTTTATTTATTTTCTACAATTTTTAACTAAAATTCTTTTCTAAAACAATTTTTATTAAAAAATTCTACGAGAATTCAATTATTTAAGTACAAAAAATAATAATATATTGAATAATTCAATGTTTCTTAAAATGGAATTCTCATAAAGACTTTCATAACCCAATATTGAAATAATTGAATTCTTTTGATGAATTTTAACCCGTTGACTGTCGCTGACGCATATATGCGCAAAACTAAACTGTCCAAAAGTGTTTCATGACGCATATATGCGCAACTTAAAAAAAGTGATTAAAAACTTCTTAAATGTTCCTGAAACCGGTTACTCGGGGGTTTTCGAGGTCGCTGATTACGAATATGACATTCGTTTTCCAAAATTCAAAATGGCGGATCCAATATGTCGGACAAAAAAATAAAAAATTGATCAGATTGACTTGAAACGTAGTACTCGGGGGTTTTTGGGGACGCTGATTACGAATCTGACATCAGTTTTTCGAAATTCAAAATGGCGGATCCAAGATGGCGGAACTTTTGTCAAAATTCGTCGAATTTGCTTGAAACTTGTTACTCGGGGGTTTTAAGGGTCGCTGATTACGAATCTAACATTAGTTTTCCAAAATTCAAAATGGCGGATCCAATATGGCGGACAACGAAATAAAAAATTGATCAGATTGGCTTGAAACTGAATACTCGGGGGTTATTAGGGTCGCTGATTACGAATCTGTCATTATTTTTCTAGGGTATTTATCGAAATTCGATTTCACTAAAAATTATCATACTGATGTCATATTAACCAGTTTCAAACAAATTCAATAAATTTTAAAAAATTTTCCGCCATATTGAACCAGATATTTTGAATTTTGAAAAACTGATTTCAGATTCGTAATCAGCGACCCTGAAAATCCCCAAGTATTCAGTTTCAAGCCAATCTGATCAATTTTTTATTTCGTTGTCCGCCATATTGGATCCGCCATTTTGAATTTCGAAAAACTGATGTCAGATTCGTAATCAGCGACCCTTAACCCCTTCACTGTTTGGAAAAATATTCATTTTAGTGCCCCAAAATGTCCATCAAAATCTTTTAAATTGTTATATTACTTAAAAATAATAAACAACTATTTATTTATTACTTTTTCTAGTATCATTGTTACCTATAGTATGTGAATAATGATATAAAAGAATTTATTTTATAATGTAAATAACTAATTTCTATTTTTTGTTAAAACTTTCACGACCCAACGTTGGGTCGCAAACAGGCAACGGGTTAAAACCCCCGAGTAACAAGTTTCAAGCAAATTCGACGAATTTTGAAAAAATTCCGCCATCTTGGATCCGCCATTTTGAATTTCGAAAAACTGATGTAAGATTCGTAATCAGCGACCCCAGAAACCTTAGGGTACCAAGTTTCATAAAAATCCATTAAAAATTTTTTCAACACACTTTTGGCCCAAACAGTGGAAATCTCGTTGACAGCCAAGGGGTTAATACAATTTTTAAGAAATGATTGCATTTTTTGAGAAATTTGATTAAATTGTATTAAAAATAATTGAAATATTGCAATGAGTTTTATTATTAATAAAAATAATTGAATTTCGGAGGAGAATTTTATTATTTATAAAGAGAATTGAAATTTTGATAAGAATTTTATTAAAATTTTTAAAAATAATTGAATTTCTAAAAAGATGTTTATTTTTTTTATGAAAATAATTGAATTATTGCGAAGAAATTTATAAAAAAATTTGTAAATAATTGAATTCTTGTGAAATTTTTATTATTTATGAATATAATTGAATTTTCGCGTAGAATGATATTAAAATTTTTGAAAAATAATTGATTTTTTGTGGAAAATTTTATTAAAATAGTAAACATTTTAATATCATTGCATTGAGGAGAATTTTTGCAAATAATTGAATTTTTCCAAGGAATTTATTAAAATTTTAAAGTTTTGAAAATAATTGAATTTTGGAGAAGAATTTGATTATTTATGAAGAGAATTGAAATTTCGACGCTAATTTTTTTTTAAATTTTTGAACGTAATTGAATTTCTGCGAAGAAGTTTATTAATTTTGAAAATAATTGAATTTCTGCAATTATTTGTATTTTCTCCAAAATTCAATTTCTATTTTTAGTCTTTTTAACTAAAATTCTTCTTTAAATCTATTATTATTGAAATTTTCTAAAATTTCAAATTGAAACCTTTTGAAATTCATCTATTTATGAAAATTGGAAAGGCAACTCTTAAAATTCAATTAATTTTTTAAATATTTAAATAAAATTATTTATTAAATAATTTATAAGTTACAATTTTATTATAGTTCTTAAGGAAGTTATTTTTAAAAAAATTCCGAGAAATAGAAAAAATTGAAGGTTTTGTATTAAAAAATTCTTGGTAATTTCATAATTTTCATTATACTTTCAATAATTTAACGAAGTTTCTGATGAATTGAATAATAAAATTTAGAAATTCTGTCAAATTTTAATTAAAATTTCTTCAAGTTAGTTAAAATCCCGAGAATAATTAATTGAAAAATTTCCGAACAATATTTCAAATTTCATAACATTATTGTTTTAAATCAAATTTTATGTTTTAAATAAATCTATTACAATTTTTTAAAACAGTCTTGTCTTTGAATGAGAAATATAAAAAAATTGAAAAAAATTATTTGAAAATCATTAAAATTTTTCTAAAAATAAAAAAAAAAAAAAAATAGTCCCGAATGTTCGTTATAATAAGTATATGAGATGAAAGTAAGCATCGGGAAATATGTCAATAAATTACAAGTGAAAATTTTCACCAACCGACTATATTACTTCCTGCGCTCTTTCAGTTGAGGAAGAAAAAATTAAACGGAAGAAAAAAAACTTTTGCAGAAAGATGAAAAAAGAAAAGAACAGCAATATAAAAGATAAGAGCACAACTTTTGAGAAATGGAATATAATAATAAAGAAGCCAAGAAAATATAAATGATATGTACTTGAAATTTCCTGGCGAAAAAGTTTTGTTGAGTGAACATAAAAAGTTATTTAGAGTGTGCCAAAAGTTTTGAGTAAGAGGAGTTGTTCGTTTAAAGTTTTCATTAAAAAAAAAATTTTTTTTTCTTCTTTATATATATATAATATCACTGACCTAGACTTTTTGTTGGGTTATATACACTTGACTGTCGTTTACATGCATGACCCATCGGCGGATTGTAGAATTTGTTGAATTTGTAGAAGCGAAGCCAGTTTGGAGTATAAATCTCCCAGTCAGAGTAGATATAGAGAGCAAGTAGTTACGAATTGCTTTGGTCAGACATGCATGCTCCATACACGACAAAGGCATGATTTCGATGACGCGCATCAGTACAAATTGAGTAATTTACTTTGGTAATTACTTACACAGAAACCCATTTACATTAGTAATTCAATTTTAGAGTTAATTGGGATTAATTATTCAATGGCAAAATAATCATAAATTCAAGTTAATTGGATTCTTCAATTGTTTACTCCTTAATAAATATTTTACGTTCAATTAAAGTGGTTTGAAAATAGTTATTTACATGGTGGTACTAATAATATTTCATTATTTTCCCAGACTTCGCACCCGATAATTAATTTTAAAAAAGTAGCAAACAATAGCTTTTAAACTATAAAAGAGTAGTAAAATAGTAGCTATCGAAAAATTAAACTTCACGACCAAAAAAAACTTGTTTTAGAAACTTCACAAAACTGACAAAAATTCCATTTTATATTTTATTTTCCTAACATTTTCCTAATATTCATCAAAAATATCTACTTCTCTCTTATCCTGCTAATCCTGCTAATAAATTGAAATCCTGCAACGAATTTTATTATTCATCAAAGAATTTAAATATTTATGAAAAATAATTTAATTCTTGCGAAGAATTTTATAAAAAATTTTAAATAATTCATTTCTTTCGACTAATTTTATGCAAATTCTAATTTTAATAATTCAATTCCTGAGAAATTTATATTATTCATGAAAAGAATTGACTTCTTACGAAGATTTTCACAAAAAAATTTTTTAAATAATTGAATTCTGTTTGGAAGTTTTATGAAAATAGTATTTATTAAATTTTTTTGAAAATAATTAAATTCCTAAAATACATCTTATTATTTAAGAAAATAATTGAATTTTTTCCGAACTATTTTATTAGAATTTTTATAAATAATTGAATTTCCAAGAAGAAATTCATTACTTTTAAAAATAATTGAATTCTTGTAATGAATATTGTTGTTTATGAAAATAATTGAATTTTGCAAAGAATTTTATTAAGATGCCTCAAAATAATTGAATTTTCGGAAATAATTTTGTTATTTATCTTTAATAATTGAATTCTTTCCAAGAATTATTTATGTAAAAAATTGAATTCTTGGGAAGAATTTTATTAAAATCTAAATGAATAATTTAATTTTTTTTTTTTTGTATTTAAAATAATTTATTTCTTTCAAACAAATTTATTAAAATATTTGAAAAGAATTCAATTCCTGTGAAAAATTCTAATATTTTTGTAAATAATTGAATTCTTACAAAGAATTTTTTTAAATAATTTTTTTAAATAATTGATTTGTTCAAGGAATTGAAATTAAATTTTTAAAAATATTTACATTTTTTGATCAATTCCTGTAAAATTGAATTAAAAGTAATTGAAATTCTGCGATGAATTTTATTATTTATGAAAATACTTAAATAGTTGCTAAGAATTTTATTAAAATTTTCAAAAATAATAAATTGAACTTCTGAGAAAAATTTTATTATTTATAAAAATAATTGAATTATTGTAAAAAATTTTTGTTATTTTTTTAATTTATTAGCTTTCTTATCCTGCTAATAAATTGAATTCCTGCAACGAATTTTCTTATTCATCAAAGAATTTAAATATTTATCAAAAATAATTTAATTCTTGCGAAGAATTTTATAAAAAATTTTAAATAATTCATTTCTTTCGACTAATTTTATGGAAATTCTAATTTTAATAATTCAATTTCTAAGAAATTTTTATTATTCATAAAAAGAATTGAATTCTTACGAAGATTTTTACAAAACATTTTTTAAATAATTGAATTCTGTTTGGAAATTACTTTTATGAAAATAGTAGATATTGAAAATCATTAAAATGCAAAGTTTTTAAAAATAATTAAATTTTACAAAAAATTCTATTAAAATTTTTAACAATAATTGAATGTCTGTGTGGCATTTTATTAAATTTTTTGTTGAAAATAATTGAATTTAAAAAAAAATTTATTGTTTAAGAAAATAATTGAATTCTTTCGAACGATTTTATTAGAATTTGAAAAATAATTGAATTTTCATAAAAAAATTTTGTACTTTTAAAAATAATTGAATTCTTGTGATGAATATTGTTATTAATGAAAATAATTGAATTTTGCAAATATTTTTTATTAAAATGCCTCAAAACAATTAAATTTTCGGAAATAATTTTGTTATTTATCTTTAATAATTGAATTCTTTCGAATATATAATCGAATTATGTATTTATATAAATAATTGAATTCTTGGAAAGAATTTTATTAAAATCTAAAAGAAGAAATGAATTCCTGAATTTTATTAAAATTTTCAAAAATAATTAAATTCCTGAGAAGAATTTTATTATTTATGAAAATATTTAAATTATTGCGAAAACTGTTATTACAATGTTTAAAAGAAATTGAATTCTTTATAAGAATTTTATAAACATTATTTTAAATAATTAACTTTTTTGAAATATATAATAAGTATTATGAAAATTTTATTTTTAATAATTGAATTCTTGTGGAAAACTATATTTGTGAAAATAATTAAATTCTTGTGAACAATTTAATTAAAATTTTTTTAAATAATTGAATTTTCAAGAAGAATCTATTACTTTTAAAAATAATTGAATTCTTGTGATGAATTTTAAGAATTTGACTCAAAATAATTGAATTTTCGGGAATAATTTTGTTATTTGTCTTCAATAATTGAATTCTTTCGAAGAATTTTTCATAAAATATTTGAAAATAATTGAATTTCTGTGAAAAATTCTAATATTTTTGTAAATAATTGAATTCTTCCAAGGAATTTAAAACAAAAATTTTTTTAAATAATTGATTTTTTCGAGGAATTGAAATGGAATTTTAAAGAATAATTCAATTTTTTAGAAATTCCTGTAAAATTTTATTTAAAATAATTAAAATCCTGCGATGAATTCAATTATTTATGAAAATAATTGAATAGTTACAAAGAATTTTATTAAAATTTCCAGAAATAATTGAATTTCTGAGAGGAATTTTATTATTTATGAAAATAATTGAATTATTGCAAAAAATTTTATTGAAATGTTTAAAAAGAATTGAATTTCTGTGAAAAATTTTGTTATGATTGAAAATAATTGAATTCTTCATAAGAATTTTATAAAACATTGTTTTAAATAATTAATTTTCTCGGAATATGATAAATATTGTGAAAATTTCAATTTAAATTGAAAATAATTGAATTCTTGCTTAGAATTTTATCATAAATTTTTTTATAAATTGAATTTCTATGAAAAATATTATTATTAGTGAAAGTAATTGAATTATCGTGGAGAATTGTATAAAAATTTTGTTAAATAATTGATTTTGTTCGAAATTTTTTTTTTAAATGCTATTCTAAAAATTTAAATTAATTGAATTCCTGTAAAAATTTTATTATTTATAAAAATAATTGAATTTTTGATGAATTTTATCATTTTTTTTTAAACTAATTGAATTCTTTTGCGAAATTTTATGAAAATACTTGAAAATAATTGAATTTCGAATATTTTTTGAAAATAATTGAATCGTTTTAAAGAATATTTTATTCTAAGTTTTGAGAATAGATTTTTGATTTCTATTAGCGAATTTAAAGTAGTGGAAATTAAAAAAGAAAACAGAAATAGTAGCTTTTAGTGTCTGAAATCTAAAAAAGTACCCAAATAGTAGCACCCATTAAATGATTACAAAAATAAAACTATTAATAACAAAACTTGGCAACGGTTCTTATTTTGATAAATCGAAAATAATTTAATTTCCCAATTAAAATCCTTAATTAAAATCCTAATTACTTAATTAAAATTCCAACGATAGATGCTAAATATTTAAAATTATTTCCAGAAATAAAAACTAAATTGTATAAAAAAAATATTTTTAAAAATAAAATAATATAAAATACGACGCGAATTGTATTTTTTAAACTAGCTGAATAAAATTTCATCACAAATCCAATTTGCAAACAATCTGCAGAGCATTTAAATAGTGAATTATAAGCAAATCCGTTAAAGCAGCATAACATGAATTTTGCCTTATTTCTCTCGATATATCTGCAGTATCACATCATAAAAGATGAACTAGATATATATTCATATTCTCTTTACAAACATATATGCTGAAATAACAAAAAGCTCAAAGCTCACTTATCCGTTATGGCACTTATTTGAAATGAAGAAAAAATTGTCGATTTTTGTTATGTTCGACTTTGAATATATACTCTGTTGACTCATGCAATGGAAATGTCGACATAACTCACATATATATATATATATATATATATATATATGTTGTATATGAAAACTGAAAAGCTCTTTCCATTGTCATGTGTCTGTCGATAACTGTCACATTGATGTGAAACAACATTACGTCCAGTGCAGAGTCAATGCTATAGTTACGGACTAGATTTCTGGTTTATTTATATAATATAATACAACATAGTCAATCTTGAACTTGGTCATCAAAACCATCAAATTAAGAAACATCTATATACTTTTTTTTTTAGAACAAAAAGAGAAAAAGAATTCAGAATTTAATTTTAAATTCTTCTGTTTCACTCACTGGGTGGGCTTTGAAAACTGAACAAGATTACGACAAAAATTTAATTTTTACCCTGACTTTTTCTTGATTTCGAGAAAAATTTTTGACTTTTTCTCTAACCCTGAGGAATATTCTGATTCACTCTCAAAATTATTAGATACTTAAAAAAATTTTTCTCTTATAATTTTTTAAAAATTTCTTTAACCTTTAGGGTGCCGGAGTGGCCACCGCATCTATTTTGACCACGAATCTTTTTATCGAATTGACTTTTTTATTTAATTTCTTTAAATAAAAAAACTACTAAAATTTATGCAAATTTACCGGCCCTCTAAAGGTTAATAATTGTATAATAATTATTCGAAAACATCAATCTTAAAATCAAAGTAAGAATCTTAAATAAAATAAAATAAAAATAATTATTTAATCATTATTATTTTCCATGAGAATTAAGATTTTCAAAAATTATAAATTCAACAACTCATGCGAATATTATTGTAAAAGTGACCGAGTGATAAAATCATTATTTTATATCATTAAGATTATTATAATTATAACTTTTCGAAAATT